GGTGTATGTACATATATGGATATACAAAAACTTTTGTATCTATATACACATGTATATATCTATTCTAATATATTAGGAGATATACATACACACATATCTAGACATCTACATATACACACATGCATATACATACATATACACATTTACATATACATACATATATAGCACATACACACACACACACACACATATATACACACACACTTTTTGAGACAGGGTCTCACTCCCATCACCCAGGATGGAGTACAGTAGGGTGATCACAGCTCACTGCAGCCTCCACTTGCCAGGCTCAGGTGATCCTCCCATTTCAACTTCCTGAGTAGCTGAAACTACAGGTATGCACTACCATGTCTGGCTAATTTTTTATATTTTTAGTAGAGACAGGGTTTCATCATGTTGCCCAGACTAGTCTCAAATGCCTGGGCTCAGGCAATCTACCCGCAGTGGCTTCCCACAGTGTTGGAATTATAGGCGTCAACCACTGCACCCATCCTAGGAGATACATATTTTTCTGAGATACAGGCACACAAGTATATATCTCAGAAAAATATTTCAGAGACAAACAACATTATAACAGTCACCCAAAGTATGTGTGTATACAACTCAATAACCATTTCCGAAAAGAATAGGAAAAAAGAAAATCAAAATTGGTTGAGTCTCTTTTTAATAATATAAAGATAAGCAATGAACCTATTAAACATAAATCTAAGTATATTATTATACTTAATGCTAAAATTTTAACCTTTTTGTTGTGAAATATAACTCACATACAGAAAAGTACAAAAAGTATATGTACAGGTCAGGCGCAGTGGTTCACACCAGTAATCCCAGCACTTTGGGGAAACAATACCTGTACAATGAAGGAATATGGCAGATAGCACCTTGACCAAGTGAGCAAACAGCGTCAGTGAGAATGGGACCAACTCACCTAGGTCTCCTGATGGGATGCAACACAACGGGAAGTATCGTATACAGCTCTCCTTATGTGGTCTTTTTGCCAAAAATATTTCACGTCAATATAATTATAAAGAAACACTAAGACAAATATAGATTGTGACAAATCCTACAACTGGCATGAATTGTTTAAAAATGTCAATGGCAAAAAAAAAAAAAACAGCGGGGGAAGGCTGGGCGCAGTGGCTCACGCCTGTAATCCCAGCACTTTGGGAGGCAGAGGCAGGCGGATCACCTGAGGTCAGGAGTTTGAGACCAGCCTGACCAACATGGTGAAACCCTGTCTCTACTAAAAAATACAAAAAAATTACCCAGGCATGGTGGCGAGCACCTGTAATCTCAGATACTCGGGAGGCTCTCAGATACCTGTGATCTCAGATATTCGGGAGGCTGAGGCAGGAGAATCGCTTGAACCCGGGAGGTGGAGGTTGCAGTGAACCAAGATCGTGCCATTGCACTCCAGCCTGGGCGACAGAGCGAGACTCCATCTCAAAAATAAAAAATAAATAAAGGGGGGGTATGTATTTTAAATTAAGACATTAAAGAAGCAAAACAGTTACATGCAATCTGTAATCTCTGATTGCTGGAGCACCCCTTCAAAAAGAAGTGACAAAGGACTTGATTGGGGCAATGGGAGCAATTTAAATAGAAACTCCATATTAGTCATTATTACCATATCAAAGTTAAGTTTCTTGGATATGCTAATGACACTGCGGTTGTATAGGAAAACATCCTACACAGGAGAATATTAGGAGGTAGATTAGGAGACAGATGTCAAAGTATATAGAAGCATTTAGGAGACACCCTCACCTTAGTTTAAATAATTTACAGGCTGGGCTCGGTGGCTCACGACTGTAATCTCAGCACTTTGGGTGGTAGAGGCGGGTGGATCACTTGAGGTCAGAGGTTTGAGACCAGCCCAGCCAACATGGCGAAACCCTGTCTCTACTAAAAACACAAAAATTAGCCGGGCACAGTGGTGGATGCCTGTAGTCCCAGTTACTTGGGAGGCTGAGACAGGAGAATTGCTTGAACCTGGGAAGCGGAGGTTGCAGTGAGCTGAGATCATGCCATTGCACTGTAGCCTGGACATCACAGCAAGACTCCATCTCAAAAAAAATTTTTTTAATTAAATAATAATAATTTGCTCTGGGGGCAAAAAGTACATAAACACACACAAACTCACTCATGCAGCAACAAAAAAGCAAAACAAGTGTGGTTAAACATTAACGATTGGTGAATCTAGTAAAGGCAGGGTGACCAGCTATGCCTGAAGAATATACTGTTAACTTTTCTGTAGCTTTAGAAAAACCTTTAAAATAAAAAGACGAGGAAAAAAAAAAAAAAGCCACAGACTTAGATTGGGTTACAGGAAAAAAAAAAAGAAAGAAAAGAAACCTATTGCTCTATAGATGGGAAGTATATGGCAGAGTAGGATAACTAAAGTCCTGTATTTCAGGCTGGAGAAAAAAAAAGGGAGCCTCAGGAGACAAAATGTACCAGGAAGAACATAGACTGGGAAGAGCTTAGAAAAGCAACCCCTTAAAGTTGTTCATGAAGTCCTGGATTCTCCTTTGAGAAGTGCATGCATGGAACTGACCCCAAATAATATACACACACATTGAGAACTGAGCTACAGGACAGAAAACCACCCAACTCTCAGTCTGGCCACTGGCTACTGCACATGTGGGACAGACCCAAATAGTACCGTAAAGACTTTGAAAACTTCTTCAAAGGTAGTTGGAACCTGTGGCCTCAACTCAACCAGGGCAATTGCCTGCTAAAATAAAAAATACTAACATCTCTGTAGGATTTAAACCAACAGCCAGAGTCTCATAAAATGACAATCAAAATGTTCAGGATACAACCTAAAATTTTGCAGCATATGAATATCCAGAAAATTTCAAGTTGCATAAGAAACCTGGAAAAAGACAACAAGATGCCATTGCTAAGCAGCATAGTTGTTGGAATTATCTGACAAAGACTTTAAAGCAGCTATAATAAAAACACTGGGCCAGGCATTTTTGGGAGCTGAAGCGTGATTATTGTTTGAGCCTAGGAGTTTAAGACCAGTCTGGACAACATAGTGAGAACCTGTCTCCACAAAAAATAAAAAATGAGCTGGGCACAGTGGCATGCATCTGCAGTTTCAGCTTCTCAGGAGGCTAAGAAAGGAGAATCACTTGAGCCCAGGAGGTTGAGGCTGCAGTGAGCTGTGGCTGCACCATTGCACTTCAGCCTGGGTGACAGAGTGAGACTCTGTTTCAAAAATAAAAAATAAATAAAAATAAAAATGCTCCAAGAAGTAACGGTGAACACTCTTGAAATACAGTCTCAGCAGAGAAACAAAAAATATAGAGAAGAATCAAATGCAAATTTTGAAACTGAAAAACACAATAACCATATTTGAAAACTCACTGGATGGGATCAATAGCAGAATGGATATGATATAGGAAAGAGGCGGTGAACTGGAAGATAGTTCTAATAAAAATGAATAGAGCCTCAGGGACCTATAGGACAATGGGAAAAGGTCAAACATTCATGCCACTGGGGTCTCAGAAGAGAGGAAAAAAGAGTGTGGGTCAGAAAAAATACGTGAAAAAATCATGGTTGAAAGTTTTCTAAATTTGGCAGAAAACATACACCTACATATTTGAGAAGCTCAGCAAACCCCAAACAAGATAAACACAAAGAAGTCCAGGCCAAAACATATCATATCCAAACTGCTGAACACTAAAGAAAAAGAAAAAAAAAAATAATTGAACACAACCAAAGAAAAACACCACATTGCTTTCAAAGACTGGATTTCTCATCAAAAATCAGAGGCCAGAAGGAAATACAACACCACTTTTAAAGTGCTGAAAGAAAAGAGCTATCAACAAAAAATTCTATAACCAGCAAAAATATCCTTCAGCACCGAGGTGAAATAAACATTCTCTAGAGGAAGAAGTACTAAGAAAATCTGTTGTCAACAGATCTACTCTAAGAGAACAGTTAAAGGAAGTTCTTCACACAGAAGAAAAATGATACCAGCAGGAAACCTGAAATGAAGGAAGAACAACAGAAATGGTAAACATTTGGATAAATATTCTCCAGCTGCCTTCTTTAATATGTTTGGTGGATGAAAACAAAACTCATACTGTCTGATCTTCAATGCACATAAGTATAATACATAAGACAACTATATAACATAAAGCAGGGTAGGCAAAAGGGCCTATAGGGTATAAGGTTGATACACTCCATGTGAAGAGATTAAATATTGATTCTAAGTAGACTGTAAATTTTTAAGTATGTACATTGTCATCCCTAGTTACCACTAAAACAATCTACACAAAAGGCTACGGTAAATAACAAAATAGAAAAATAAAAATGCAATACTAAGAAGTTCATATGTATGATGCAATTTATATGACATTATCCCAAAAACAAAAGCTTAGTGACAGTGGACAGGTCAGTCAGCGGTTGTCAGGAGTTAGGAATGGGTGAGAGTACGGTTTACAAAAGAAACACAAGGAAGTTTATAGAGCCATGGAATGGTTCTGGGTCCCACTCTGGGTAGTGGCTAAACAAACCTATTCATGTGTAAACATTCACAGAACAACAAACACAGTCAATCTTGCTGTGTGTTAATTAAAATTTAAAAATATACAACAAAGAGAGATACGGGTAAAGGTGGAATCTCAGAGAACATAGTATGTAAGAACAGGAGGAGCAAAAACAATAGAAGCAAAGCAAGTGGCAAAAACGAAAACAAAACAAAGAAAAAACCCCACACTGTTGTCACAGAGGGCAGCACTGCAAGGAAGGGAGTGTGGAATCTGCCATGTCTACTGGGTGGGCAACTGGGCAGTCAGCATCAACCATGCTAAGCGCTGCTTTGGATGTGGGAGGGATGGGGAGAGAGAGCAAAATGTCTGAATTGCAGGAATGTATATGTATTCCCAAAGTGTGGGAATGGGAAAACAGCCAAGTCTGGACTAGTGTATTACCAAAAGCTCATTTTATTTATTT